TCTTTTTTCCTTCTGTAATCTTTAAACCTTTAATAAATATTATTTTTTTTAAAAAAATGAACTGCTAGGTTGGCAGGAGCAGGGACTGAGCAATGGGAGCTCACCCCGTCGTGGGGATGTGAACCGCTGACCTTCTGATCGGCAAGTCCTAGGCTCCGTGGTTTAACCCACAGCACCACCCGTGTCCCAGAATATACATATGTGTTTTAAAAAAAATGAAATACAAAATGTCAAAATACAAAGAAAGATTTAACTCTAATACATCTGTTATACACAACCTTATGAGACAGAGTGTTTACAAAAAGCTCTGTGGGACATGGGCTATTTCAACTGAAACAAATATGTAAATATGAAAGGAAACTGTGATCAGGAATGTTCCTTTGTTTAATTTATTTCCAGGCTGCTTAATGCATGTAAGGCTCATACTCTCCAACATTTCTCCAATGAAAATAAGGATGACCCATTCCATAATGATAATTTTACTATTTATACCCCAAACATCTTACTGGGTTGCCCCAGCCACTCTGGGCAGCTTCCAACATATATTATAACATAATAAAACATTAAACATCTTTTAAAAACTTCCCTATGCAGAATTGCCTTCAGATGGCTTGGGGGTCGGACAACTCCATACCCTCCAACATTTCTCCAATGAAAATAGGGATATCCTAAGGAAAAGTGGGACATTCAGGGATCAAATCAGAAACTGGGACGACTTATCTAAATCAGGAACATCCCTGAAAAATAGGGACACTTGGAGGGTATGTATGCTGAAATGTCCTTGTGAACTGGAGTCCTGAGCAAGCATGTACACCACAATTTAAAGAGCAGACCCCAAAGAAACCTGGGAACTGCAGCTTACCACTCACAGAACTAGAATTCCCAGCATGCTTAACAAATTAGAGTTCCAATTACAGTGGTACCTTGGTTTTCAAGCGTCTCGGAAGCAGAACGTTTCGGTTTTTGAACACCAAAAACCCAGAAGTACAGTAATTGATTTCATTTTCAAACACTTTTGTGTCTTGGTTGTCAAACGTTTCAGAAGTCGAAAGGTCTTCCAGAACGGATTACGTTCGACAACCAAGGTACCACTGTATTATTATTTGGGGATGGGGAGGGAATGTGCATGAAACGTATAGTGTGTACACAGTCTTGTTGTCCTTACAATTACAAGAGAGCTGGTGTAGTTCTATAGACTTTGTTAAGAAGTAACTCCGACCATCCCTTATTTCTCTGTTTCTGCCTACTTTCCTCTTCCTACATTCTCTCCAGACCCCATTTCCTCCTGATTCCTCTTCAAGACAACGCCTAGACAACTGAAATGATTAACTGGCCAGGTGATTCAGTCTGAGCACCACCGTTCAGGTCTGTTCAAAGGAACAAACTGCAGGGAGCTCAACCAGATCCAGGGACAGATCCAGAGCCTGACATGACTGGGCATTTGCCAAAGCCCTAAACCACTGCCCTAATGGTGCTACCATCCCCACTTGGCATGAAGATCAGATGCAGCCAGCAATAATTCTCAGCTTGCAGTTCCTGCACCTTCCAGTTTTGGTGGGCCCACCCAGCGTGCTATGCCTGAGGATTCTCAAACTCCTGGAGCCAGAGCTGGCCAAAGTGCAGCAAGCAGACTAGAGTGAGGCATGCAATATTCCTGGGTTTCTAGTAAGGCTTCCCAATCAGGCTTCTTCATTTTCCTGAGCAAACTCTAGGCCCTTTTAACATTATAGCTTCCTGATTTAACTACACCTCACCTTGCTTACTCCCATCTTGGCTGAGGCCATCAAAACTCTTAAGATCATCTCCCCCTGTCCCCCAATTCACTGAGAAGAACGTGTAAGCTCCAATCTGTCAGTGCCAGAGAAATGACGCCTCATATCTGGTTAAAATCCACTTTCTTCATGGGCCAATCTTATTGTGCAAACTAGGCTTCTCAGTTACAGACAGGCCTCGGGAATAAAACATGGTACAACGTTGGGTTTATCTTTGGTGTCGTGGTAATGCACACAGACAAGGATGCATGTTTAAATTAGCAGCAGTTAATGCAGGACTGCACATTATGAATGGAGCTTGTTTGTCTTACAAATGTACAGATGCACTTTCAAAAATGGGGTAACTCAACATCCCTGCTGCTCTGTGTCATTCAGTGAACCCCATATGTTTTCTCAAAAAAAAAAAAAATGTGGAAGCCTTTCCATTTATTTTAGCACACTCTTAATTACTTTTTAATTGCAGCAGCTGTTTTTGATGTGCACTAGGCAGAGTAGATCAATCTCCCCCTCATACACATTTCCCTTTTCCTTATGCTCTGAAGATTCCCACCACACATCATTATTTTGCTACGCTAGAACTCAGAATCATTGGCCGACACTTCCCTGTAATGTCCAAAAAGCCCAGATGAGCCACTGCTATGAAAACACAGGGAGAGGAAAACTAAAACAGATGAACAAGATTGAATAAACATCCCATGGCATATACCATCTTCATGGCATTTTTTAAAAAAATACAGGCAAGGCTTTTTTTCTAGCCAGAACTCGGTGGACCTCAGTTCCAATATCGCTCAGGTGGACGCCATTGCCATTCTAAGAAAACAAGGGAGACATTTGTGGTGAGTTCTGGCACCTATTTTTCTAGAAAAATAGCACTGTCTGCAGGTATACCTGTAACAAGTATAGCAGTGCTAGTCTAAGCATGTTCACTTAGAAGGAAGTCCAGTTGAATTAAATAGAGATATACTCTTGAGTAAGTATGCACAGGATTGTAGCCAAGTTGAGCATTCGCACAGGATTCTGCTACCACTTCCTAAGCTGTGGCTAAGGCAGGAGGTGGGAATAAGTTATCCTATCACTTCCCCCCCCCCTACCACTGATCACAGTGGGGAGGGACTTAACTATGCCAGCTCCAGGGCTGTTGTAGTTTAAGAACCATTCTGGGTGTGTGGAGGACGGCTGGCTTAGAATCATGCAGTGCTTCAGCCTCCCCCCACAGGACCCGTTTTGACACCCCCCATCCCACCTGCAATGCACAACTGCCACTCTGCATCACCCAAAATATGTGAAGGGGTGAATCATCAAATGGGAGGATGCAGAGGAGACAACTTTGCATGGAATTTGAAAGTGCTAAGTTATATATATAGGTGCAAATTTAGAAATAATTACCATAATGTGAATTGAAATACCATACATAGTGAGGAAGCCTCATCACCAAAGCTCAGTAGTGGAGGTTTGCATACACAGAAGGGTCTGGGTTCAATCCCCAGCATCTCCAGGTAGAGCAAAGAGCCACCCTAGCCTGAAATCCTGAAGAGCAGCAGCGAATCTGTGTGAACAATATTTTGGCTAGATGGACCAAAGGACTGACACCATACAAGGCAACTCCTTGTGTTCCTATGACCAGATGGTCTGTGTGCTTGCTCAGTCTGCTGTCTGGGTGTTAAGGAGCTAGTGGGCAAGCTCAGAGCTCCCTTACCTGGGTAGCTCAGTTGGTTAGAGCATGGTGCTGATAATGCCATGGTTGTGGGTTTGATCCCCGTATGGGACAGTTGCACATTCCTGCATTGCAGGGGGTTGGACAAGATGATCCTCAGGGTCCCTTCCAGCTCTATGAGTCTATGAAAACAAGATTCAGTCCAAAAGCCTTTCGCATAGAGGATTGTACCCTCTAAAGCAGAACTCATGGCCACCTGACACATGCATCGTGAACAAGGAATGGGCATGCATGCATCTTCCAGAGCTCCTCAATTTGTGTGTTCAGACCCAGAAACCTCCCCCCTAAATAAATTCACAATTGACTCAAATTTTGGTTTCGGTTTTTGGCAGAATTTAGGCCACAACTTTATTGATTACAGAAAGTGACTGGTTGCATAGGCTCTGGTTCAACTAGCTCCCTGCCATGCAGGTAGCGCTGACCCAGGGCACCAGCATAGGTCAGCCAAGGGTGAACACCTGGATAAGCGGAAAGCTGGGAACAGGCTAACTCCGCCACCCAAATGTCCCCCTGGACTCAGGCACAGGCACAACCCCTCTCAGGGGTTGACCAAACCGTCGAGTCCCTGGATTCCTTTAATGGAATACCCTTCACATAGGGGTGGCGAGAGCGTTCTCCCATCCCTGTCACCTGAACCAGAGCCTATCCGCAACCTTACAAGTTGTGACGATTTGCTACACAGCAGGCGAAACACAAATGGCAATAGCCAATCAGCCAGGTGGGGAAAATTCCTGCCGTGCCCCTGTCCCAACAACAGATGACACACGACGGCATAGCAAGGTCAAGCGCAAAGCCCTAAAAGTAGGGAGAGGCGGGCGGGTGTTCCAAATGCACACGCTGAAAGAGGAAGCTCTGGGTCATGTACATGGGCATAAATAGGTCCCTCGAACTGTTTGGACTGCGTCCCATTGGCCAGATTGCACCCAGCTACGAAGGACCTACCAATCGGGTGTTGTGGCTGACCAATCGTACCTACCCACAACACAGGGTGTTGGTTGTCCCTGATAATAGCACTTTCAGCTCCTGTGTGCAATTCCACCCTGCCTCTTGCTTGCTTGTTTCGAAACTGGCAGGCCTAGATGGCCCCCCTCCCCCAAATCCCAGCTCTCTTACTGTATTTACCAGGTGGCTGACTTTCTGGTGTCACGTCAGTTAAAAGCACAACAAAATAGCCGGCAATCTCATGGTTTTGTTCTATTATTAGAATGCAATTACCATCTGGTGTTGTGCTGCTGGGAAGTGTTATTTTTCTGTGTCAGCAAACAAACAAAAAAAGTGTAGCAATTTGGTGAACACTCCGAGGTTAATGCTCAAAAGCAGAGAAATGGTTGCAATGATATCTTCTTGAGCCAAGAAAAATGCTTGCATGACTGCAGATTCCCTGGCAAGGAAAGATAACCTAGTAGCTGGTGAGGTGGTCTGTTTTCTGTTTTGCTGCTAGCAATGAAAAGCAAGAGAAGTTTCTGGCATGGAAAAATCATCCGCATTTGGGCTGTAGTGTTCAGCTGAGGTTTATGAACCGCGAGCTGGTTTTCTGGAAGACATGGAGGTAATTGTAATTGGTTCTTACCAAATCCTTACCAAAACATGTAGGGATGGATATATTGTTTAGTTATTATCCTTCCTTGCTCATATTAGTGAGATCAGCAGAGTGCCATCCTTTGCAGCTTAAACTTGGAAGCTAAGACAACCCATTTCTACCCCTTAAAAACAACTATCACACGCACTGTTTTGTGAAGATGTAAAAGTAGTATTTGCTTAAACAGTCTAAGAGTGGACCAGTGTAGTGTAGTGGTTAAGAGCGGTAGTCTTGTAATCTGGTGAACCGGGTTCGTGTCCCCACTCCTCCACATGCAGCCGCTGGGTGACCTTGGGCTAGTCACACTTCTCTGAATTCTCTCAGCCCCACTCACCTCACAGAGTGTTTGTTGTGGTGAAGGGGTACAGTTAGGGTTACCCCAGAAAGCCCTAAAAACTGTTTGTGAATTCCCCCTCCCCAGCCAGGCCTCGGAGTATGCATTTTAAAAACTACATTTTCCTCTAAGACAAAAAGCATGAGCTAAGCAGTCCTCTCTGTAACAAAAACGCTGTAACAAACCCAGAGCTGAGAACAGTAAAGCTTTTCGCTTCCCAGATCCAAGATAACCTTGTCCTGGTACATTGATTTGCAACATACTTCCGGGAACAGAGTCAGAGAACGAAAAGCAACATTTCTATGTAAGAATCTGTGAAGGGGGAGAGGAAAAAAGGGGTTTGAAAAAAAGGATAAAACCTGCTTGTAAAATGTTTTCGGCGCGCCTGTCTTTTGTGAATTGAATCACACAGGTGCCTCTGCCCCCCCGGATGGCAGAATAAAACGCTCTTTCTCTGGATTAACCCCTTGGTGTCATTTGGCTCCTTTTGTCTCTGCTCGGGTGCAACAATTATTCCTACCCATGGATTAAAAAGGCTACATATTTCTGGTGCATCGGCCGGGAAAAAGCACGTTCCCCGAGATCGAGGGACAAAAAGGTCCAGGGCGTCACTGCAAGGCGAGCAGCTTGGGATCCCGGGTCAACAGTTCCAGCGTGCATCCTGCCAACTTCGTGGGAGGGACTGTCCACCCGTTCCTGAGTGGACACGCAACAAGTGACGGAGAGAAAGAGCAACGGCCGTGCAGAAAGAAGGTACCTCGAGGAACAAGGTAGGCTCCACAGGGTATAGGTGGGAGCAAGCTCCACAGGGTTAGGTGGGAGCACAAAGAGAGTTTGATCAGCTCCGCCAGCAGGATAGAAGAAGTGCCACTGGTTTTGGTGTCGCCCAGAAAAAGCAGCAAAAAGGGTGCTGCTGGGCCCCGGTCGAAGTCTAAGCGCTGCCAGTTGTGGTTGGTTGTTGGTTTTGTGCCCAGAAGAAGCAGAAAACAAAGGTGCTCTTGGGCCCCGGTAGAAGTCGTGAAGCGCTGCCGGTTGGTTTTGGTACAAAGGGGATTGAGGGAGGTGCATGGGTTTCTGAATGTGCGTGTGGGGACACTCCAGTGAATGTTTTGAGTGTGTGAGACGTTGGAAGCAACGTCTGGCCTGTGACTGAGTGAAAAAATAGCGTTAGGAGGGCTGAGTGTCCCAGTGTCCCCAGGATCCCAGAGTCATGGGAAATAAAAGCAGTAAAACAATTCTTGAGACACCACTACAGAGCTTTCTGGAAAACTGGAAAAGTGCCACGAAAGCAGAAGAGTGGGGATGTAAACTCAAAAAAAGCAGACTCCAACATTTATGTGAAGTTGACTGGCCTTCGTATTTACCAGAATGGCCTCCTGGAGGATCCTTTGATCCAAACTTGGTCAACATTTTATGGAGTAACATTTTCAAGGTTCACACAGATCAGATTCCCTATATTTCTATCTGGAAAGCCAATATGGATCAAAATCCCTCATGGCTTCGGAAAAATAGAATTGTGACTGCCCAAGTCAAACTGTGTTCAGTACAATTACAAGTTAAGAAGCCACCAGTTTTGACAGTCCTGGAAGAGGAGATAATTACCCCCCCACCACCATATGCAGCAACTGCGCCAAGGCAACCAAATCTGGGAGCAAATAGGGCTGCTTCTCCGCCCAATGTCCAGACTGAGGACCCAAATGAGAAGATTCCCCCCTCTGCCCCTCCCCAACCCCCATGTGATGCAAGCAAGGAAGGTGAAGAGAAAGGTGATGATGATGATGATGATTTCAGAAAAACTCTAGATAAAGAGATAAGATGGACTAGTAAGCAGTCTGACAGAGTGTTCCAGTATGTAGAACCGTTTAAAACAGAACTGGATGTGGCCCCCTGGGTTCTAGAAGCAGCCCAGTGCCAGGATGAGAATTGGAGAAAAAAGCAAAAGGTTTTGAGAACAGCATGGGACAGGGCAACAAAACATGCAGAGACACTTAAATCTAAGGCTTTGTCCAAACCCACTGTGGTGGCCCCTCTCAGGCAAGTGTATGATCCTTTGGAACAGCCAAATGATCAGGGTGTTAGACCCCCAAGGACCTTTACCATTCAACATGTCCCTTTTACAAGCTCCGATATTTGCAATTGGAAAAATCAAAATCCTTCTTTTGAGGAAAATCCTGCAAAAATAATTAGACTTTTTGAAGGTGTGTTCAAAACCTATATGCCTACATATGATGATGTAAGTCAGCTTTTGGACACAATTCTTTGTTTTTTTGTTTTTTAAAAAAAATATTTTATTAAGGATTTCTTGTTTTACAGAAGTGTTTTTGGACACAATTCTGACCACTGAGGAGGTCCGCAAGGTAAATGCCTGTGCCAGGGAACAGCTCAAGGCAGCAAATAATACTGACGCTGCAATTGAGGTCTCTTACCCCAGGCGGACCCCCCCTTGGGATTACAATACTACAGAGGGAAGGGTGACCTTAGAGACTTATCACAAAAATGTTTTAGAAGGCATGAGACGGGCAGCAAAAAGGCCTACAAATATGGCGAAATTATCTGAGATTTTTCAGCTGCCCAATGAGCCTCCAGGAGTATTTTTGGAAAGATTAAAAGAGGCATTCCGCAAATACACCCCCATAGACCCTGATGATGATGCCCAAGAGATGATTGTAAAAACCACCTTTGTGATGCAAGCAGCTCCTGACATAAGACGTAAAATTCAAAAAAATGAGAATTTTATGGGAAATCGACTTGAATGGATGTTAACCCTTGCACAGACCACTTATAATCAGAGGGTGAAGAAACAGAAAAGCAGAGAGAAAAATACCAGGCCAAAAAATTAATGGCACTAAGAGCTGGCCAGCAGCCAGACAGCCAGAAACAAGAAGCTCATGGGAGGGGAAGAAGACGCCTAGGGAAGAAACCACTGCGCCATCTGCAGACAAGAGGGTCACTGGGAAATGGAATGCCCACAGGCCCCATGCCCGACACACCCCACCCCCACAGGCTGGGAACAATAAGATTTCTCAAAAATGATTTCTTCTCATCTCTGTTCTTGCTGAAAGACTGTTGCAGCTAGAAGCGAGTGAATTAACTGTTTCTAACATTCATTCATGCAAGTAACAGGACACCAGCTTTTTTTTTTCTTTTCTTCTTGTGCCAGGTGCTTGGAGTAGCTTATCTCTTGGCTGCTATTCCAGGAAGGACACTGCTGCATTCAGCCAGCTTCCCTGAACCTCACACTTTCTGGATTTACAGTTCAGCCACATAAACCCGAAGGCCAAGGGTTACCCACCCCCCTTGCCCCAAGCACTAACCTGAAGAGTGATTTCTTAAAAGCAAGTGAATGCTTTCTGTGAACTTTGTCAAATGTTTTTCCTTTTAGGAGCTATTGAAGAAGCGCAGCATGCTCAGATCAAAACGCTGCTGCCACATAGGAATTGATACTTTGAGGAATTTGAAACTTTGCCAGAAGCAAGGAGCGCATTGTTCTTTATACAGACACTGGCAAATGAATTGAAATTTGCAACATGGCTTAAAGCTCTGAAACTTAGAGCCCACAAATGAGACTTTTAAAAAAATCTCAGCTGGCAAACTTAACCCAAGGAACAGAACTGTTAACCCCTTGCGAAGTTTCCTGCCAAGCATCCCCTTTGAGTTAATATACCTTATGTGCAAATGTTATCTATCAATTTGTTCTGTGCAATCGCTGCCGTCTTTGTTATCTCTTCTCTTAACAGGTGGACTTTTGCCAGGATACCTCTGCATCCCTATGAACCAGGTGAAGAGGACCCAGACGTCGCTCCAGCCTTGTTGGAATGGACCCAAGATGCCCAACGCCCACCAGACGACCCGACGCCCACCAGACTACAGCCCTGCTAAACGTCGCTCCTGGACGCTGGCGTTTTGCACGGCTCAAGAATCCAGCATGGATTGAAAGAGGACATTTTCTCATTTTCTTTACTTTCCTTTTGCATAACTGAACTTTATTGAGGGTACCTGGGCCTGGTTTGCTTTACGCCACCCCTGCAGAGGAGGGTGTCTAGTGGGTCTTTTCTTTCAGCGTAATTACACCCCAGCCCACTCTCTAGCACTTACCTAAGCCCCTCCCCGTGCATACAATGGCTCAAATACGACTGTGGGTCCCCGTGCTGGTATTTCTGCTGCATTTGACCTTTGAAATGCCGATACCACTCACAGTGACCAGACAACTGCTGCAATCGTGGGGGGCCCACCACACATATAATAAGTGGATTCAAGTTGCTGAGATGGTTGTGTTCTCTGCAAATCGGACCAATTGTGCCGTCTGCACTCTGGCCCCTGTAGATGCTCTGGGAGGAATGCCACTACTCCCTGTGCCTTGGAATGAATCCTTGGTTACAACTCCACTTGTTGTCTTCCAGCGTCTGGGCAACCATTCTTCTTTATGGAATCATTCCGTCCCTTTCCAGGTTCACAGGATCACTGGCTGCCTTTGTGTCAACAAATCAAATGACGCCAGTGACGCTCAGACCTATGTGGGCACTTCCCACTGCAATCGTACCTTCCCAGCCCCACCTAACATGCCTGAGTCCGAGACAGGAACTTTTTCTGGTTCCAAATTGACTGCATGCCTGGCCCGCTTGCTGACAGGCACCATATCTGCCCATGGTCAGGACGTTTACTGGGTGTGTGGCAGGAAGGCCTATCATGCCCTCCCAAGAGGATGGTATGGGGTCTGTTTTCCAGCCTACTTAATACCCCCCATGTGGATTCCTGACCAGATACCCTCTGCACCCCCTAGAAGGAGGCGTTCGGCTGACCTGGCAACACTTGCAGGTGGCAGCTCCCAGAATTGGGGCAAAAATCAGTGGCCTCCGGAAAGGATACTGGCCCATTATGCTCCAGCCTCCTGGAATCGGGGAGATTGGGGCAAGGGGGCCAATCTATAACTTGAACCGCATAATCAGACTCTAGGCAGTGGTAGAGATTGTTGCTAACACGACAGCCACGGCCCTTAGGCTAATTGCCACGCAATTGGATGAGACACGCAATGTGTTTCTCTCAGTCCAATTAGCGTTGGACTTTCTCCTGGCGCAACGTGGTGGTTTTTGTGCAACATTAAATCTCACGGGTGGGGCCTGTTGCTTTAACATCTCTGATCATGGTGAGGCCATTTGCAATTTGGCAGCAGGACTTGAAACAGTGGCCCATATTCCTACCCAAACCTGGGAGGGATGGGACATGTCATGGCTTGACTGGTTGCCAAACCTAGGATGGGTAAAAGGCCTGTTTTTGCTGCTGCTTGGCCCACTTTTCATTTTGCTAATTTTTTGCTTTTCTGTACCTTGCTTGCTGCAATGCTTGCATACAATGACATGCAATATGATTTCTCGCATGCTTCGCCCCCAGATTATAGCTCTGACCCGAGAATATCAGCCTGTGCCTTCCTGGGACAAGCCTTTTTAAGAAAAAGGCTGTCCAAATTTGAGAGGTATGGAATGAAGGGGTACAGTTAGGGTTACCCCAGAAAGCCCTGAAAACTGTTTGTGAATCCCCCCCCCCCAGCCAGGCCTCGGAGTACGCATTTTAAAAACTACATTTTCCTCTAAGACAAAAAGCATGAGCTAAGCAGTCCTCTCTGTAACAAAAACGCTGTAACAAACCCAGAGCTGAGAACAGTAAAGCTTTTCGCTTCCCAGATCCAAGATAACCTTGTCCTGGTACATTGATTTGCAACATACTTCCGGGAACAGAGTCAGAGAACGAAAAGCAACAGATATATGCTTTCACCACAGACTTGCAGCAGGAATGGAAACCGTTTTCTTGATTCAAGCCTAAACAACAAAAACAACTTCTTAATAAATTCTAATTCAGCATGCTGGGTTAATTTCATGCCAGAGTCTCCTCCTTTTGTTGAAGAATGGGAACTTTTGGGTTCTGTTTTTGAGTTCATTTTGTTATTAGGTAAAGGTAAAGGGACCCCTGACCATTAGGTCCAGTCGTGGCCAACTCTGGGGTTGCAGCGCTCATCTCGCTTTATTGACCGAGGGAGCCGGCGTACAGCTTCTGGGTCATGTGGCCAGCATGACTAAGCCGCTTCTGGCGATCCAGAGCAGTGCACGGAAACGCCGTGTTGGTACTAAAGGGTTAAGAGGTAACAAGTCGCTCTAATCACTGAGCAGCTGGAAGTCATTAAGCATCCAGGAATGTGAGTTAGTTTGTATAAATAGTCAGTTCACCCGTGTGTTCTCTCTCCCCCCCCCCCCTTGACCTGACTCGCAGTTTGTGGCCATGGGCGTGTTTGCTAGTATGAGTTAAGTTTAGAGTAAAGTTTTCTTTATGCCGGAGATAAAAGCATGTGTGCTTTATCGCCAGGGTTTTTTCTTTTGTTAATAAAGTTTTTTTCTGAGTTCCAAAGTGCTTGCTCCAGGATTCTTCATTGAAAGGTACTGACTCTCCTGCCTTCTTCAACCGCTGCACGAAATTCTCTGCTGAGATAAGACTTATGGCGTTGGAAGCGCACTGGACGTTTACTTAACATTAAACTAATTAAAGTTTAATGGACAGGTTATGGGTGTTTGTATGTCAAGAAGGAGATAAGGAGTGCAGTTCAGAGTGATTTATGAAAGGACTGGAGCGAAGACAAAAGCGGTTGCTGACAACGAAAGCCTTCAAAGCAGCTTGAGTCCTGCAACGTGCCTAGAAAGAGTTTTAAACAGGCACTGCGCAGTTTGTACTCGCTGGAAGACGTCTTATTCCTCAAGGAGCCACCTCAGCAGCTGGGAGACGGTCTACAGGTGTGTGAGTATCGTTCCTAAGCCCCAGGGAGGATGGCAGAGTTCCAGGAAAGTTTTGCTGTCCCGTTTACGCGACTCAATGGGAAAAATTGGCAAGATTGGAAGGCTAGAGTAAGGGTTTGGTTGCAAGCAAAAGAGTTGTGGAGTTGTACTGAAGCACCGCCTTTACAGGCAGCTGCAGACGCATCTGCAGAAGCCAAAGCAGCAGCAGCAGCAGCTTCACAGAAACGCGACAGGAAAGCCCAAGGTCTATTAGTTTTGGCAGTGGGACCAGAGCAAATGCCTTATGTTTCTGAGTTAAAGAACACGCATGAGGTCTGGACGGTTCTGCAGCAGCTAAATTCCAGAAACACTGCGGGGGCCAAGATCCATGCTACAAGATGTTTGTTTGATTTACGTCTCCAACCGGGAGCGTGTGTGAAAGAACATATTGCCAAAATGGTGTCTGCCTTTAATCAACTAAGACAGCTGGGCATTCCTTTCTCTATGGAGCAGCAGTCATACATATTGTTGTCTTCTCTTGATAAAAGCTATGAGACTCTAGCTTTAACTTTCGAAGCTATGCCTTCAGCTGAATTAACCCTTGAATACATTTCTTCTCGGCTTGCAGATGAACAGGATAAAAGGCAAAGAGAAAGAGGTTTGTCTTCAAAGGGGAGTTGTGCTGTGCCTAAGAGTGGGGATGCTGAGTTTGAGAACACAGTAAATGCTTTTGCAGCCAGACACTGTTTTCGCTGTGGTTCCTCTTCCCATTTAATCAGGAACTGCACACGTGAACCTGGTCAAGACAGCACCAAGGCCGTTACCCCTAGTTACCAGACAAGGAGTTCCAGGGGACGTCGAAGAAGAGGAGGAGGTCGTGGCTACTCCCACAGCACACAGCTTCAGCAATGGCGTTGATGCAAGGTCGTGGCCAAGGCAGCAGTCTACACTGGTTGATCGACAGTGGTGCATCTCACCACCTGGTGGCGCCATCTAGTGTCCGTTTGCAGAATTGCAGGCATTTGCAAACCCTTAAAGTTGTGACAATGGCAGATTCAACTAAACGTTCCTTAGAGACCGTAGGCACAGTGTTCTTGAATTGTTTGCATACAGAAATTGATGCCTATGTGCTAAAGGGAATGAAGGGGAGTATTTTGTCTGTGTCAGAACTTGATAGAGATGGGTTTAAAACTATGTTTGAAAATGAGGTTTGCACTATTTCAAAGAATAACGTATCTCTTTTGCAGGTGGAATGCAGAAATGGGTTATATTATTTTGAGACAAGTCCAGATGAAGTTGAACAGGTTCATGCTGGTTGTGTGAACTCGCCTACCCATAATTCTTGTGTTCATTTATGGCACCGCCATTTCGGACATATTAATTTTCAGTATGTTAAAAGGCAACCTGAATTATCAGAAGGGTGCAAAATGAACAAATGTACTAAGTATTTGGATTGTACTGCATGCAAAAGGGCGAAGGTTCATAGATGCAGCTATCCCAGTTCAGATAGGAAATCTGACAAAGTATTCCAACTTGTGCATATGGACCTATGTGGCCCAATGCCTGTTGCTAGTATGGGAGGTTCGAGGTATGCACTGTGTCTCTCGGATGACAAAACAAAAGTCACATGGTTTTTTCCTCTCAAAACAAAAGCAGATACTGCAGAAACAGTTAAAAATTGGGTTCATGCAGTAGAACTTGAATTCAGTACTAGAGTACTTGCTTTTCAGACAGACAGAGGGTTAGAATTTACCGGGTCTGTGTTGCAGAATTTCTTTAAGAAAAAGGGAATTAAGCATCGTCTGTCTACACCTTATTCCCCCCAAGAAGGAGGCATGGCCGAACGCAAAAACAGGGTTCTGCAAGAGTTGGCAAACTCTATGTTGTTTGATTCTAAACTCCCTCAAAGTTACTGGGCGGAAGCTGGCAGACAGCTACTCATATTCTGAACCGAGTATATAATTCGGTAATTGATACTACGCCATATTTTGCTTTATACGGGAAGAAGCCCAAAGTTAATTACTTTCGGATGTTTGGACCTCAAGCCTATGTACTTATCCCAAAAGCGTTAAGGAAAAAGGGAAGTCCAAGGGCTAGGAAACTCATCTTTTGTGGGTACGAACCACACGCCAAGTCTTGGAGGTTCGTGAACCCAGATGGGGATACTACAAGAGTGGTCATCAGTAGGAGCGCTGAATTTTGTGAGCAATCTGGATGGACTCACTTACATGCTAACCCTGACATTTTGAGAGATGATCTAGGCATTTATGCTGAGAATGAAAGTCCAGAGGGTGGTGAGCCAGAAGGGGATGGTGCACATGGTTCAGATGCAGATTCTGACCAGGCACAAGGTTCTCCTCCTAAGGTAGAAAAGCCAGAATCTAGGAGTGTTCCAACATCGCCAGTCAGTAGGCCTAGCAGACAGCAAAAGCGAAGCAGGTCGCCTGCAACACCAAGCCCAAGGGAGGTATCTAAACGGAGGTCTTTATCCCTAGGGGCGCATCCAGATATAAAGTCTGAGACAGATTCTGACAGCCAACGGTCAGAGGGGGCACAAGAGGAACAATTGCACAGATCAAAACGTGCCACAAAGGGCAAACAACCAGAGCGGTTTAAGGTGACAAGTGTATATGGCACAGTGTGAGCCAGATAGCTATATAGAGGTACAACAGCTTCCAAGCTCAGAAGCCGTAAAGTGGCAGGAAGCAATGGAAAAAGAGATGGCTTCAATGAAGTCTCTCAGTGTGTTTACAAGTACAGAGCTTCCGAAAGGGCAACAAGCTGTAGGTTGTCGATGGGTATATCGTTTAAAGCCCACAACTACTGAGGAGTTGCATTATAAAGCCCGACTAGTTGCAAAAGGATTTTCGCAGCGCAAAGGTGTTCACTATTCTCAAATCTATGCCCCTACTTCAAGATCGGAGTCATTAAGAATGCTTTTAGCCTCTTCAGCTAAGAAGGGAAATAAGCTGTTTCATTTTGATGTCAATGTGGCTTATTTAAATGCAGACTTACGGGAGGAAGTCTATATGACACCACCACCAGGTTTTGAAGGAGACAAGCCAAACCAGGTCTGGCGCCTACACAAATCCATTTATGGGTTGAAACAGTCCGCCCGTAATTGGAATTCCTGCTTAAACGATGCTCTAGAGAGCATGGGGTTCAGAAAG